AATCCATAGTACCTAAACCCTTGAACCTTTGTATTAGTACATTTGCTTCGTTAATTTACTATATTGCATTCGTATCTATTACTCCCCAAACGTCAAAAGTTAAGAATAAGTTGGAGTTAAAGACTCTTTCAAGTTATAGGATGTCGTTATTTATCTGTGTTATCTCATTGTGGATCTTTTGCGAGACGACTTTGTGTTAGAAAAATGCAAATTTAACATTACAAAAATTGTTTATTACTTCAGCTGTGAACGACGACACTACGCGCTCAAGCCAGATTGGAAAACTACCATTTTGGCGGACGGACTGGGTTTCTCCGCGAGATCCGAAGCGGCATAACCGCGCCTCATCTCCCTTCGTTCGTCGCTTAATGAAATTTTTGCAACTTTATATTCGCGTTTTCAAATGTACCTTTCTGGGTGGACTTCTCACTGACATACGGCCATTTTATAAGCGAAATAGAGATTCAACCAGCCCTGAACGCAAATCGACGAAAATCTGAAAATCACGAAGAATGTCAGATTGAAACGTCTAAATAAATTTCACTATATTTGACGTTTCCAATTGAGGTTAGAAAATCACAACGAACCATAGATCGATGGAAGGAACAGACTGATTGATATTTGACGTATTTCGTAATTTAGGTTAGGAAATCAGACGGTACCTACTACGCGATTTTTGACGTTTCTAATTGAGGTTAGAAAATCAGAAGGAACGTACTAATTGATATTTGACGTGTTTCGTATTTTAGGTTAAGATATCACACGGGAATGACAAGACGATATTTGACGTTTCTAATTGAGGTTAGAAAATCAGAAGGAACGTACTAACTGATATTTGACGTGTTTCGTATTTTGGTTTAAGATATCACACAGGAGTGACAAGACGATATTTGACGTTTCTAATTGAGGTTAAAAAATCAGTGGGGACCTACTAATTAACATTTGGCGTATTTCATAGATGACATCGAGGTGAAAAAATCAGATGGACCTACTAGGCGAAAATGACACTTTCAATTGATGTTAGAAAATTAGACGGGACTTACTAGATGACGTTTGATGTATTTATTTAAACCAAAAATTTTTTGTTTACTGATCAAAGGCCTATTTCAAACTTTTTACATAGAACGTTTCGCGAAATTAACGCAAATTCGAAGTGCGGCAGCTTAAACAATGAACGACGACACTACGCGCTGTGTCTCAAGTCAGACTGGAAAACTAGCATTTTGGCGGACGGACTGGGTTTCTCCGCGAGATCCGAAGCGGCATAATCGCGCCTCATCTCCCTTCGTTCGTCGCTTAATCAAAATTTTGCAACTTTATATTCGCGTTTTCAAATATATCTTTCTCCATGGACTTCTCACTGACATACGGCCATTTTATAAGCGAAATGGAGATTCAAAGAACCGCGAACGCAAATCGACGAAAATCTAAAAATCACGAAGAATGTCAGATTGAAACGTCAAAATAAATTTCGCTATATTTGACGTTTCCAATTGAGGTTAGAATATCACAACGAACCATAGATCGATGGAAGGAAAATACTAATTGATATTTGACGTATTCCGTAAGTAATTTAGGTTAGGAAACCAGACGGGACCATAGAACTTATAAACTACTGGATTCGCCCGACTGTCATTTTGCCAATATAAACGGCAATGGCATAGACGTGTGCGAGAGAGATAGAGCTGGTGCGGGCTAATGCTTCGTTCTTAAAACTTCAAGTATCGCGCGAATTAAATTGAATTTCTCTTCTTTTAACAATACATATTTGTACGACTAATTTTAATTAATTATTATTAACGAATAAGAGCATAAGCACTCTTTGTTTATATAGAATTTTTGTACAAATTGGAGGTATTAAAGGGGGAATGTAATAATTTTTTTTTTTAAATCTTTTCATGAAAAGTTATATAGTTGCTAACCAAAGGGTTTTTTTGAAAATCCATATACTGCATGTTCTACATAACTGACCCAAGTCAAAATTATCGGTCTAGAGGCTTCTGTATATTTCAGAAATTTATTGTGGCAATATTTTTATGAAAAATCTTATATTGTAGAACTCAGAGGCATTTTGCAAATTTATATACTGAGTGTTTCATAAAAATGACACAGGCGGACTAGGATTTTTTTCTCATTTCACTACCTATCTAAATTTTCAAATAGATATTTCTACACACGGTGTCTTACTAAAAAAATGTTTTTTGCAATTTATGTACAGGATGTTTCATAGAACTGACACAGGTGGACCAGATTTTCTCTGATTCATTTTGTTAATTTTTTCATGACATCTTTTGAAGAAAAGTTGTATATTTACTGACCAGCCGCTTTTTAGAAAATCCATATACGTACTGGGTGTTCCAAAAAATTGATCCACATCTGAAACGGGCAATTTTTCCCCTTTTCACATTTAACTTTGTTTTTATTTACTAAAATCTTTTAATGAAAAATTGTATATTGACTAACCGGATGTCTTTTTGAATCTTTATACTGGATGTTCCACAAAACTGATCCAATTACCAACAGAACGAAACTTTCCTTAGGTATATTTTTTTCCATTTCTACAGTTTGTACTGAAGTCTGGAATATTTTTATGAAAAATCTTATACCCTACCAACCAGGTGTTTTTTGCAATTTATGTACAGGATGTTTCGTAAAACTTACACAGGTGGACTAGATTTTTCCTTATTCATTTTTTGAATTTTTTCTTTAAATCTTTTGAAGAAAAGCCGCTTTTTTAAAAATCCATATACTAGATGTTCTATAGAATTAAGGGCAGTTTTGTTTCTTTTCACTTTTAGCTTTGACTTTATTTACTACAGTCTTTTAATGAAAATTTGTATATTTATCAAGCAGATGTCTTAATTTATTTTTTTACCATTTCTGCCTTACCTACGTAGTCTTTGGATGAAAAATTTTATATTTACTAACCAGATGCCTTTTTTGGAAGTTTGGAAGAAACTTTTCTTATTCTTTTCTCGAGCGGGGCCTACTCTTTTTTGAAAAACATTCTCATCATACTTTTATATACAGGGTGTTTAAAAATCAAAGTACAGGGTATTTTAAAAAATGTTATATCTACTAACCAGCGAGGAAAGCACCGCGGAGCGGTGTTCGGGCCGCGCGCAGCGCGGCCCGAGGGCCGAAGGCCCGAGAGAAAGGTCAAACTCCGCGTCAGCGGAGTTTGCCTGCCTTTCTAGTATTCTAATATTAAATTGCTTACCTATTCTCCTTAATTTTTCCTATGGAACTTTTATTGTGGATGTAATTTCCTTTTGTTGTCTGTCAGAATTTGTTTTACTTTCAATATTCTTAACGAAATTCTCAGGCTATTGATTGTTTATTAATACAATATAATTATTTTTATAAAATTCGTTAAAAATTATATCTTTTGAAGAAATCAATTAGCTCTCTCGTACGAATATTATTTTACAGAATTAAAATTATAATAACATTTAAAAAAGAGTTACACATTATATAGATTAATAAACTAAAGGTACCTATAAGTAATAAGTTACAAAATTTTTTTTGATTTTGGCTACATTATAGTGAAATGTATCAGTCAAATCTAATACTTATTATATTTATATCTGACGTAGAGAAGATATCTGAAATGAATTTGTTGTAGAATCTGCTAATATGAAAATTTAAAATTTAATGAATCAAATCTTTGGGAGCGTCCAAAGTTTTTTGCAAAAATAGGATTTTAAACAAGAGAATCTTAATAATAATCCAATAATAATCTAGCAATATTTTACAACTAATTTATGTTTCTAGAGGGCAGAGTACATTAGCTTGGGACGTACGGGACTGAACTACTTCTGCAAGCCTATTGATTAGATTTCAAAATGGACAACCCCAATTGTACCCCTAGAGTAGTACCAGTAAGTAATTTTAACTTATAAAACAAGAAATACTTATTTATGTAAAATTATTTTTGGAAAATTAGCTACAATGAATAAATTAATTCTCAAACATACAGGGTGTCCCGAAATTCACGCAACAAAATTTAGTCACAGATTTTTAAGACAAATTTAGGGAACCGTATTTTTTATTTTTGCCAAGTGGCCCCCTCTTTCGAAGTTACAGCCCCCTGAAGTCCGCTCCTAAAAATAATCTTTTTTTTATATCTTAGAACTCTGTTGTACGAGAATCACTAAATTTGGTACACAGGGGTTTTATGACATGTGGAATCTGATGGTGCTACTTGTTTTGGCGGGGAACCCCCTTAAGACAATTTTTCATGGTCCCCCTTGTCTTTGGAGCCAAAAAAATTTGGTCGCATATTTAAATTTCTTAAAAATTATCAGTCCACTAGAAAGCCATTAAATTTAGAAACTTGTTGTCTCTTTATACATTTATATATTTTCGACTTTTTTCGTAAAACGCAATGTTTTCGAGAAAAATGTCAAATTATAATCTAATGCATATCGTGATTCGCCATTTTCCTTAAAAACATTGCGTTTTAAGAAACAAATATCAAGAGACAAAAAAGTTTCTAAATTCAATGGCTTTCTAGCTAACTAATAATTTAAAAAATAAATTTAATTTGCGACCATATTTTTCTGATTCCAAAGACAAGGGGGCCCACGAAAAAAACCAAATAGCGTAGCACTCTGAGATTTCTCATGTCATAAAACCCCTATGTACCAAATTTAGTGATTCTCGTGCAACATTGTTTTGAGATATAAAAATGGCTTCTTAGGAGCAGATTTTAAGGGGGCTGTAACTCCGAAAGAGGGGGTCAGTTGGCAGAAAGAAAAAGTACGGGTCCCCTAAATTTGTCTTAAGAATCTATAACCGAATTTTGTTGCATGAATTTCGGGACACCCTGTATAACTTCGAACTGAAATTTCCAACCAAGATTACAAAAAGTGCCCTAAAAAGATCAAGATTTTATTAATCTCGGAAACTTTTTTATCTACAGCTAATTTCGGAAACTTTTTTATCTACGATTGTATATACGATCAAACTATATTGTCATTTAAAATTTTGGATAAAAGGCTCCTGGATATTCATCTGTTGGATAACATAAAGGTAATTTGTAGTTTCAAGATCTGAAAGTTAAAATTTTTTATCCTCGACTATCTTTAAGAAATCATAAAAAATCCAATATTTTCAAAATGTTTGCTTCCTTTCCAAAAAGTTCACGGATTTCTCTCATCCTCATTAATTTGAGCTGTTCAAAAAGCTTTGCACTATAATTTGTCGCTGAATTATCGTCGTTAAAAGCAAAAATGACCTTCGAAATGTCCTCTATAAGACGTTCTCATAGTTTTTCGATAAAAAAGTTTCGCTAAACTTGAGATAACTTTATAATAGACTAAGAATATTTTAGTATTTTTTTAAATTTAAAGTATCCCAAAGAAACCTTTAATAAAAATTGAAGTAACTTTTTGGTATCCCTTTTGGTGAATAACACTATCAAAAGAGTAAAAATGTAGATAGTTTGTTCTTACGACATTTTCATAAGCTTTCTGTACATGGAATGTTAACCTTCTCCATGGCAACCTCATTCTAAATACAACAAACTTTTTATCAGTTCTGATTTTTTCCGAAAAATGTTACGTAAGAAATTTTCAATCACAGCACACGTAAAAATAATATGACATTTACACCAGTTTAGTACGCACACGATAATAATAATACTAATTTATAAAAATTAGTTAGCATTTTTGAAGGCACTGCCTGCACATCCGGCACGGACAGTTATTTACTCTCCACGTGACGTCATATGACCGCAAGTATGCATATCATATTTCTTGATCTTTGTATCGTGACTCAAAAAGTAGAATGTTGTTTTCATTTATTTTATTTTCAGAAATATATTCGTAAGAGACCCTGCTATAAGGCCCGAAAGCAAACTTCAACTGAAGAGCCTAATTCTTCCTCTCTAAAGGTAAGTAGTTACTTCTTAGATGGGATTCGAGCATATAAGATTTTTATAAAAAAATTCATACACTTATATGAAATGTGATTATCCCGAAAATGAGAAACTAAATGTTAAAGCTGATTGAAAATATGTGCAGAAAAAAGAACTCCAGTTTTGATCATTCCTTACTGAGCCATAAATTATATTTGACTGAAATATCAATTTCATGTGTGCTTTGAGTACATGCTTCATTTGAAAGAAAACTGACATTTTTATTTCAAGTTTCATAGCTTCGAACTACGAAAAATTACGTTCTTGTTTATAACAAGAATTTAAAAAAAAGTGAAAAACCCCGCACAAAACATGGAAATTGAACACCGGTCAATTTTTATGAAACTTCGTATTTTGATAGTCCTCGTCATGCTGATCAAAAGTCTCAATGAGCACGAAGCCCTACAACCCTTTCCAATCCCCCAAAACCACCCCCAAAAATCAGGGTAATGAACTTGACAGATTACAGGTCAAATGGCTTACCGTAATATTTCACTACTGTAGTCGAACCTACATAAACACCTAACTACGCTTAAGACTATCAATAGGCACCGAGCCTTACAACCCCCACCAATCCCCCAAAACCTCCCCCAAAGGTCAGGGGGATGCACTTAATTCTTAGATTATCGGTCAATAAAACTACAGAAATATTTTACTACTGCAGTCGAACCTACAGCCAAGGTTTCACATCCTACAAACAGCAAAAAATCTTATGGCAAGTTTTAGTACTTTTTATGGGTTAAAGGGTATTAAACAATAAGATGGGTGAAGTATGCAATTCAAGATTGAACGGTTTCATAAGCCGTAAGCAGGGAAAATTCATGTCAGGCTTCGATAAGAACTGGGGTTGGTCCGACCCCAACCGTGTGATTTGGGTTGGGGGTGGGTGTTCAATTGTCGGGAATCAGCATCGGAGAGTATAGAGTAGCGATTGTTTAGGTGGCTGTGAGATGGAATTCACGATTAAACAGATACACAACGAGTAAGTTGGTGGGGAGGGATAGGGATGTGGGGTTCAGTGTTTTGGAGATAGTAGTCTTAAGCCTAGTTACAGTTTGGCTGTAGGTAGGACTGCAATAGTAAAATATTTCGGTAGTTTTATTGACCGATAATCTGCCAAGTGCATTCCCCTGACCTTTGGGGGTGGTTTTGGGTAGTTCTTTTATTTCAAAATGTAACATAATTTCGGTCTCTAATATTTTGCATCAGTTTTACGGGCAAGTAGTAACTAGAGCTAAAATGTTGGAAAAATAAAAAATATTCTCTATATTGCAGAATACATAGTGTTTAACATGTAATGTAATATCGTACTGAATGTGCTCGAGGAAGTACCGCGGATCACACACGCGAATAGATGTCATAATAGCTAACATGTTGAAGTATAACTCCCGTATTTGCAGTTTTTTCCTTCTTTTTTCTTCCTAGAAAAGTTCTCCTGCTCGATTTTAAGCTCGATTCGAAGCTGGGAATCGAGATATTATACCCAAACATCGGAAAACCCAGGATAATGCTATTAAACTATCCCTTGGGAATTCCAGATCACTCTATTGCGCTAATAGTACTTCCTGAATGTAGAAGTTGTCAATAAACTAGGTTAATGGGTTAAAGGCTTCAGGGGTTATGAAGTTAGAGAAGCCCGCCAACCCACTGTTATGTAGTTTCGGATCCCCGATATACACTACTGGAAAAAATTTAAAAAACCAAACATTTTCATGAATTTTTTAGTGATTTTCGAAAGACTGTATCTCAGGGAAAAATGGAGATGAAAAAAAATTGTTTTGAAGCTTTAAGTCTGTAGTTTCAAGATCTTTAAATAAAATATTTTTTTGCTACGGTTATTGAGCAAACAAAAGATATATATCGAGAAAAAATTTAACTTTTTTTTAGGACTTTATTTTAGCACTCACGAACATTTTTTCATACTGAATCAATACAGAGGTCAGTTAGCTCATTTATTGAGCCTCAATTTGATTTTTGAAAGTACGACTATTGATTGCCGAGATACCAATGGTTGAATGGAAAAAAAATACTTATGTCTTCAATCATCGATATACATATCTGCAAGAAATTATTGCACAGTAAATCCAAGGGCAGTTTTGAAAACTTGAATAAAGTGTCTACAAGGACCTGTCACGGTTTTTCATCCTTGACATTAATTTGAAAAACATGCAAAACATGAATAGTTTTTTAGAAAATCTACCGCTAATTTTCAAATATTTATGAGAAGACTAATATTGTAATATGATGTAGTGAGATCTTGAATTCGAATATTTTTCCAATCTGTGATCACTCAAGTCGGTTTGAAATCTGGAAAACCACTTTCTAGAGGAGTGTCTCGATGTTAGGGTCAAAATATGAACACATCCGGGAATTCTAACTTTAGATTCGGATTGAGCGGACCAAAGTACTATCACTAGTTTGGTCCACGATCCAACCCACTTTTTTTTTGTAGCGCTGTTACTACAAACATTATTTTAAATAGGAATAAAGTTAATAAAATCCATTGCGAATATTAATCTCAAAATTGCATTAATTTTATAAAACAAATATTTTCATCAAATTTTAATTAGTTTGACAGTCAATGTGTTAACGTCATTTTCTGATACCCCAGATTGCCCGATGCGCCTAACCTTTAACGTTCCTATTAAATCGTTTATTGTTTTTTCCAGACGCCTCTCAGCATTTTTCTTTCCGACGATGAAACTAACACCGCAAAGTGCACAAAGTGCAATAATTACCTCTCCATACCGCCGATTGTTAATGATTCAAATAATATAGTCTGTGGCAGATGTGTCGAAGCCTACAAACTTCCTGAAGACAACAGGGCCTATTTTTACGAAAATCTCGCAAAATTTATGTTCTTGCCATGTCGAAATGATGCTTACGGTTGTTCTGTTAAGATACCGTGGGGAAAGGTACTGGATCACGAAATTCGTTGCAGCTATGAGAGAATCATTTGTCCAGCTATTGGCTGTGAAAGTAAAGTAATAAATGACGATGTAATGAAACATTTCGAAACTTACCACCATGAGCTCATACTGGGGCAAAATCAGTACCATTTTTCAAAATCTGAAGATCAGAACACTTTCGAAAATAAATTATTTTCGTGGAAAAATAAGCTTTTCATTATACACACAAGAACTGATAATGGAAATATATTTTTTCGTATTGCCCGCATGAAGGGACACACTAGAAAATTATTATTACAATTAAAGGGCAAATCTACTTCAAGCTTACTTGTCCTGGATCATTTTACGGTAACGAAATATAATTTAAAACTTCCTACTTTTTCGGATGCAGAAAAAATAGATATTAACACATTAGAAATTGTTTTGGGGGCTGAGATTACATGCACCTTTACGTTCGACGATGATGCTAAGTCAGTAAGAAACACAGATGATAATAAATTGTATTCAGAAATGGAATGTCCAATATGTACTGCTTACATGAGACCCCCAATTCACATGTGCAATACAGGACATAGTTTATGTAGACAATGTAGGGAAAAGCTGCAGAGATGTCCTTCTTGTTCCAGCGAATTCAGTGGCAGTAGGAATTATTCTCTAGAAAAAATTGGTCAAATTATAAAGTGCCCCTGTAGAAGTAAAGATCTAGGATGCGACTTTGTAGGAAATATCAATACTATTGCACACCATGAATTAATGTGTTCTCTGACACTTTCCGAAAGTAAAATAAGTTGCATTGCAAATCGTGGGACTAGTTGCAGCTGGATAGGAAACTTTGCGACAGCATTTCAGCATATTTCTTCAACACATCCTAACTTATGTAGTAAACCAGGAAGTTCTATGACTATAGATATCTCTACTACCAATAATGACACTAAACGATTTCTACTATATGATAGAAGAGTGTTTGCCTTGGATGTAAAATTTGATGCAGATTCTGATTCATACGGTAGCGATGAAGAAAGTGGGAACGTTAGCTGGGCCATCACATGCATTAGTACAGAAAAAGTACCAGATCACTATACATTTTTCTTAGAAATTATAAGAGGCAACAGAATTCTAAGCATCAATGGAAACTGTGATACAGCCGATCCCAAAACTTCGATCCCTCCACGTTATATCAATATATCTAAGTCCCTCCTTGATGACTTCATACTGCAAAATACGATAACGTTTAAAATAAACATATCTAATACAGGCAGAACTCCTCCTTTGCGGACTCACTAGTCGCGGAGCAAAAAATTGTGACCATTTCTCGTATTCACGGTTGAAAAATTCTATTTTCGTGGATTCAAAACTAACCATACATATTGTATTTTTGGAATAATGTATATTTATTTGAGAAAATAAACGAGTAGGTATCAAAATTTTAGTGTCATGAAGCCGAAAGTCCTTTGACAAAAGTCGCCGCTGGCGCCGCTAATTTACACGTGCCACTATGGCCTTTGATAAATGTGACATTAAAATTAAAAAACCTGAGTGAAAGTTATCGGATGGCAAATGAGCTTTGTGATTTCTTGTGATAAGATGCAAATTGATAATGCCATAGCTGAATATCAATCCGGATTAAAAGGCCTTTTAATAGCTGCAGAACAAGAAAAAATCGAAAGTTCTTTAAACCATTGCCTAGACCTGATAATAATAATTAATATTGTTAAAGTTTATCTTTATAAATTACTTTTATTATTATATTTTTTTATTATTTTGCCTCATTGCAACGTTCCAATTTCCATACAAAACGCCACTACGTATTCGTGGTACATTTTCGGAACGTATTCCGACGGTACAAAATATTACATTCTTAGAAGAAAATGTACATAAGAATTTGTCACCACGAAATTAACGAAGGTTGGTGTGCATGTTTCCATGAGTAGAATTTTCCTTAGTGTATTAGTCTGTAAATAATTATTTGATATAATAATAATAGATGTCTTTATTTAAAAGTTTTTGATTGCAAGTCTTGCTTATGGCTACTCTCCTTAACCTTGATGAAACTAAAACAAAATTTGTACATATAAACTATTCATTGAATAAAACAAAACACATTTTTAAATCATTGAAGAAGAAAATAAAATCCTACAGAATGCATGGTAATGACGAAAAGGTAATTATTGTTTTTGAATTTTTTCCGAAAACTATTCATTTAAGTTGTTGTCTATATTTACAACATTGAATGAGTACTCTGAAACAAAGTTGTACGAAATGTTGGTAACTGAAGAAAATGGACATGTCTTAGTTTAAATCATTATGAAAATTTAAACGGAAAGAATAAAATATAAAACAATAATTGACAATAGGAGTCTTTCCGATCTCAATTGAAGAACCAAGTGTAAGACCCCAACTTTATTATTAAATATAATTTTGCTTACTTGATACCGGCTAACAGCATGTACTTTTGTAGACTCAAGGAGTGGGCTGTGGGACTGTGGAAAACTCTCTTCACGGTAATTGTGCCAACAGGGCGCCACTGATTTTTGTATTTATGTGTGAAACAAACAATTATATGTACTACTAAAGAAAAACCAGAAAATTTAGTAGACTATTTTATATTCGACAAAGTAACAAAGGCACAAGTATGTGGCAACAGTGGGTAGCCACGACACAACTCTAATGATTAAACTATACAAAAACGAAATGCAGCCACTTGGCTAAACTTAACCTACAGCAAATAAAACAATTAAAAATAACTACAAAAAGTTTGTCAAGTTAGGGTAGGAAGTTCACGATTTAGACACAAAGTTATAGTTATTTCACACGCGAGAGATCTCTATAGTGGTCGTAGCACTTTTTTATAGGCTAGCCTGATAATCGAAAATATAAGTTTAACTTAAATCTGGAACACAATGGCGGCGTGTAACTCACTTGCAAACTTACTTCTTAGATATTTGCTTAACTCACGTAGATTGGAACTAGAATATTATCAGTTTCATACTCCTAGAAACTGCAAGGTACTTTTGCAAACTAATATTGTATCTGGACATCAATATTAACATTAGTTTCACATCAAACACTCAGCTCAACTATATCATACGCCATCTTCCTCGAAATCTCGCCGTAGTCTCCTCCAATTCTTTTGTTTCGATTTCTACCATCGACCGAACTGCGGCCATTCGCGCAACCCTTTTTAAACTCGAACAGTATTCGCCTACTTGATTTATCTACGCACTACTCTGATCACTAGATGGCACTACTTAGACTATTTCTTAAATAAATGACAATTAAAACATTATTGAATGCGACTCTACATCCTTTATATAGATTTTAAAATAGGGACCGTTACACATGAGGTTGGCAGTATGTACCAGGTTCGGTCGCTGACGTAGAAACTCGGCATTGGAATATCTGAAAAACTTGTTCCCATATTTATTTAGCCATACCCATATACAGATCTGGTCGAACTAAACGTGGAGGTGGTAGAAATGTATACGCCCAGTTAAAGAAAGCACGCGCTGGCAAACGGCGTATAACACAGCTGTACTGGTCGACTGGGCAATAAATCTCAGTTGTTGTTCAATAGAAAACTTTATTTCCTTTAGACAATACAAAATTGTATAGGATTAAGTTATCAATACATTACAAATAAAACACATAGATAACAATCATATAACATTAACACATTTAAGTATAATACAAACATCATAGTCTTTTACGCAGTTATCCGAGTCTACTGTAGTAGGTCGCAATAAAAAAACTGAATTGGCGAGTATCATTTTAACACTCCGTATCTCGTAAAGTGAAGCGATTAGGGAAAAATATATAGAAATATATAGAGCATATTTTAAAATTATTTTCATTGTTTTGTATTAATCATATAAGTACAGAGTATTGACAAAAACGTGCATTTTTTTAAATAGGGCACCCTTTATATTTTAAATATACAGGGTGTTCTATTTAAAAAATGAAACTTTGTGTCAACACTCTGTATATGATTAGTACAAAAAAATTAAAATAATTTTAAATTATGCTCCCTATAGATGTACGCCTCTGGACTAAATTTCATTTTGATATCTCTTCAGGCTTAGGAACTATCCTCCGCCCACACACTAATAGCGGATGCGGTATACTGTGCTAACTCATGAAATAATGGATACATAAAGGAAAATTTGATCCCCTGTTACCAACGGATACTACCGAGTTCCGTCTTATACCTGAAATATGACCTATAAAAATTCGAATTCTGTCCGGAGTCTTTTTGGGTCTCTACTAATTCCAACCGATTGTCAGCTTACTTGCTTACCCCCACTATGTAAAATTGAACTGTCACCTAAACTTGACGGAACAACATATCTCAGTTTTTTTAGAAGATGTACCTTAAGACATGATTCTTGGTACATGCATGATGGTGCCTCAGCATATTACACCCTAGAAGTTAGGAATTACCTAGATGAAGTTTACCCGCATAGGTGGATTGGTAGAGGTAGTGTACACATATCGCCATCACTTAGTTCCGATCTAAATCCCCTAGATTTTTACTTTTGGGGTTACCTAAAATCACTTGTTTATATAAATCAAATAAATAGAAATAATGGGAAAAAAATTGTAGATTGAGTTAACGTTATCATGGCCCAACAAAAATCATTTCTTAATGTAAGACAAAACTTGAATAAAAGGGTTAGACAATGTATTGTAATAAATGGTTAGTATTTTTAATATTTATTGTAATTTGTTGCCGTTTTGTTTCCAAGATTATTGTAGATAAATTTAATTCAGAACATCCTTTCAGATATTCATATTGTCGACCATTTATTTTTATTTAATTACGTTTTTACATTGCCTTTTACTTAATTGCTTTGTAAAGGTCTTAATAAAAATCAAATTCATTTATATTTTATTTGCAGAAAGTATCTACAACAGATACACTTAGCATCCAGTAGGATTGAAGTTCTTGAGAATACGTTTGCGTTTACGCAACATTTTAACATACATTTTTTTATTTAATCATCTCATTGAAGAGTTATGTCTAATTCGAAAACGTTCTACTTTTTTGACTTCAAAAAATTATACCTTTTTTGTGTGAAATTGAATGCCATTTCTTTATTTTTGTTCGAGAATGTACATACAGAGTAGACAAAAAAGTTGATGTGTATCCAAATTTTCATTTCATATTTATATGTCAGTTTTGCATCAAAGTGAGTCGTTCCATGAAACATTTACATATGTTACTTAGACATTTATTTAACTCATATGCAGCCCGTTGTTGCTAATGTTATAACGGCTAAAATATATCTTATAAGAAATATGAGTTTTCGAAAAACATGTATTGGTTAAACGTTGGTGCTTATACATAGACATACTAATAACTGAGACATCATATACATACAGGTCTTACGGTGACGGCCCATTAGAATTATTTCAGATACTACTTCGAATTGAATTTTGAAAATTTGGGACAACGGGTTTTCGGGCATGCTCTTCTCAACTAAAATAATGGCGTCCACGTACCACTTTCGGTTATACTGGAAGTCGCCAACAACTTGCTTATGTTAATTGAAACACCCTATATATTATTGCAATTTTGGATTGTACGTGTTATTTTAGGTGGACTTTTATGAAGCTTCCCTATTCCTAAAATTAACCGTTTTCGAGATATTAAATTTTTTTCAAAAAATTGGAGAGAAACAGTGAATAGTATGAAAGATAAAGCAACAATATTTATAGGGGGGATAGCTAGATCCCTAAGCTTTCCATCCATACAAGTGATGAATACAGAAAGGATAACTCTGGAATTTTTAGCAAAACTTCAGAAGAAACGACTAAACAGTCAATTTGTTGTTAGTCTCTTGCAGTGACAGTTTAATTTAGTGTTTATAAAATATGGAAAACAATGCATATTTAAATGCTGATATTTTAAATTTATTATTCATTCACGGACGTTGCAATTGGATTATAAGCAGAACATGTACAGTTTTTAATGAGACATATCCAAATTTGCCACCAATGAGCAGAAAAAAGTTGAGAAGAATTTTAGCAAATCAACTAGAGTATGGTCGAATTTGTGCAGAAAGAATTTTACCAAAACCAATAACTTCAAAGGAAAATAATGTAATAAATGTACTAGCCTATCTTAATGTTCATCCAGAATCCTCAACTCGTGCCGCAGAGTATGAGGCATTTCACGAGCTAAAAACATGATGCTAAAAACTAATGATATGCAACCATACAAATTTAAGCTACTTTCTGCTCTTCATCCGGGTGACGCCGTGCAACATGTACAATTCTGTGAAACGATGTTAATACCAAGAAGATCCACAATTTTTGCAACATATTATATGGACAGACGAGTCAAAATTTACGAGAGAAGGTATTTTTAACAGACAAAATACTCATTTGTGGTCATCTGAAAATCCTCATGTTATCCGGGAAAGAAACTTTCAAAATAAATTTAGAGTAAATGTTTTTGTCTAATTAAAGATAACCTTTCTTACCATATCTACGAAGAAAATTTAAATGCCGACAGATATATTAATATTTTGCAAACAGTTGTGGCAGATTTTCTAGATGATATACCTTTAGACCAACTAAGGAAGTGTTGGTATCAATTAAACGGGGCCCCACCTCACTGTCACAATCAAATCGATCGACAGCTGACTGAAATGTTTAAAGATAGATGGATGAGACGCCTAGGACCGTGGAATTGGCCAGTGAGGTCTCCCGACCTCACTCCATTAGATTTTTATATTTGGGGAGTAATAAACCAAAAAGTTTATTCTGCATCCGTTGCTTCAAAAGGCGATTTGATTGGTCGAATACGAAGAGCGTTCCATGAGTTGCCTGCAGCTGAAATAGCAAAAGCGGTGACTGATGGTGTTATCTCTAGAATCCACAAGTGCTTAGCATTAAATTTCTAGCATCCTATATGCAATTAAGCCACTTTGAAAGTATAGATGGGAACCTTAGGGATCTAGCTATCCCCTCTATAAATATTCTGCTTTATCTTTCTTACTATAAAATACACATGGTTTGAAGCTAGTCACTGTTTCTCTAAATTAAATATCTAGAAAACGGTTAATTTTAGGAATAGGGAACCTTCATAAAAGTCTACCTAAAATAACACGTAGAATCCAAAATTGCAATAATATATAGGTTGTTCCATTTAAAATAAGAAAGTTGATAGCGATTTCCGGTATAACCGGAAGTGGTCCGTGGACGCCATTATTTTAGATAAGGGCATGCCCGAAAACCCGGTATCCCAAATTTTCAAAATTCAAATCGAAGTAGTCTCTGAAATAATTCTAATGGGCCGCCACCGTGAGACACCTTGTATATACGAGAATATATAATACACAGGAGATGCGGGTTCGAGAGTCTTTCCTATGATTGATTAGCCCAGTGAGGCCAAGTTTCAATTTCTTTTTGAAGTGCGGTTCCAGGACTCTCGGTGCCGTATAGTTGTCGAGCTCCTAAAATTTTATAGTCCTTCTCGAGATACCCCAACTCGACACCTTTACCAACTAGTTTTTTAAAAGCGGCGATTTGATTCTTCGGAGGTTTTTCAGAATTAAAAGTTCCCACGAACGCCACACCTATGCTTTTGTAGTTGTATCCGAAAGTGTGGGCGCCTTCGTATTTCCATCCTCGCCCTTCATAAACAGCGCCATCTCCGCCGACCAGAAAGCTGTAGCCTATATCCCACCACTGGTTGCTTTCCATGTGGAACTGCTGTATCTGGCGTACTTGGTATGTACACTGAGCTAAAGAGATGCAACTTTCAGTGGATGTATGGTGTATTATCACTAAGGGAACTGGCGTTTTCAGTAAATCTGCTTCGTGAGTGGGCGGCTGTGCCAGCCACTGCAGTCGGGAAACAATTCGGAATCTCTCGCTTATCGTTGAATTGAAACCTGAAATTATACAATTATATTTATCCTCTTATTTACAACGCAGCATAACATTCAATATGAGAATTAATGGTTACAAAATGATTAGTTGAATTATTCATCTGGTAACTACTCAACGTTACCAGATGAATTCATTACAGGTACGGAGAGTGTGTAGCTGAGACTGTGGGCGAATTACGTGGGATTTTCGGTAGAGCGAACGCCCCGAAGGAAACTACAGTGAAAAGAATAGTTGCCAAATTTGAACAAACACGTTCGGTTGCAGGTATGCGAAAGCGTGATATATAATTTTCTTAGAACGAGTCGAGTCGCAAGGACGTCTGTCTGGTATCCTCTTTCATATTTACTGGAGATGTCTACTCTTTAGTAACATGTAAAAACTTTACCAACTTTTTAATTAATAAAATCTTTTTTCTCAAATGAAATCCTGCTTCTTTTTTCGGGATACAACAGTATTTATACAATGCAGCTGAAGTTGCAGTTGAAATGCAAAAGAATACGTGGTATAATCAAAATCATAACAAGTTTGAATAATTACACAGCCCCACAAAAAAAGGATCGGATCTGGTATTCAGACTCATGTATTTAAATGTATTTTTTCCGCTGAATCCGAACCTGCCTTCAGATTTGGCCCAATGGGCCAAATCTGGTTTCCTGAAAATCTCGGAGATTATAGCGAAGAACAAGGCGAACGATTTCATCAGGATATGAAGGTTATAGAACAGCGATATCAAGGAAGATGGGATGAAAACATGATGGTCGATGTTTGTTGGTTGTTAAAAAGAGAAATGAAAAATAGAGGGACTAAACGAAAGCGTAACCCTTTGCATAGATCCTTTAAAGTAAAGAGAACACGTTATAGCAACAAAAATAAGAATTTGTAGGTATCGTTTTCTTTTGTTTAGAAAGTAGAGTATTCTACAAGTTTTATTGTATTCTCAGTCTTCTAGGCTGTTACCTCATCTCTCAGCACAAAAAGTAGATGGATGGGTTTTATAGGTGGTACAGGTGGATGGATAAATATGCATATTAATGCATGAACGACTGGATAGAAAGATGTATGAATTCATAAATGGGTGGGTGGATAAAAAGATGGATCCAGAACTCTGCAACACGAATTATGCCATGGAAATGGTATTTTGATCTATTTTCTGTTTTTGAATGAAATTGGACCAGCTTGTCTGACTCTATGATGATAAATTGGAATTAAACGAGTGAAAAATCATTCGTCTAGTGAGCTGGTAGAATAATTTGACTTTTTATAACTTTCGTCGGTCGTAAATGACGTTTTTTTGCTAATTTTGACCTGTTTTTTGAATTTTCCCAAAAACTCAGATACGACTCATACATCGGTCTGAATACCAGATCCAATCTTTTATTTTGTGGGGCTGTGTTATGGATTCTGATGTATGTAGCAATAGTATCAAGGAGAGAGTTCCTAAATGGAAAACAATTCGACAGATTTTAGAAAACTTGTCGCAAAAGCAACAGATACGAAAACGCGAAGAACTGGAGTGACGAAAATTTTGAGAATTCTGAAGAATTATTCTCTAATCTATCGAACCTTCATGATATATTCGATAAATTATTTTTGGTTCTTACAATTAGAAACACTTTCAATATTATAAGTTTCTTTTAATGAATTAAGACTACTTAACCCTCTTTTAATAAAATAAAATATCAATATTAAACTGGGTTAAAGCTTTCAAGATCTTTGAGTTACATAATAAATATGAAATTATAAAATCAATAATCAAGACGCTTGTAATAACTGACAGATTTGCAGCCATTTCTCTTGTGGGTTCTGTACGAGCCAAACGCGAAATTTCTTTAAACTGCGGATTTATCTTTTTAATTTAATTTAATTTTAGAAGTAAAACTGCAAGTTGACCATTAATGCGTAAAGTCGTTTTTATTCAATAAAATACTATATCTCCAATATATTATTTTTCCTGTGTTCCATTCTGTTTTATACGAATGGATGTGTTTCCTTTTAAAAGCTCCACTACACATAATAACTATTTTTTAATAATAACTTTCTACATATTACCAAATTCTCTCAAAAATTATAACGAGCGACGCAACGGCGACATTTTAAGAATGTAGATAGGGGATGGGCCATTTTCGTTATGCAATATAGGAGCTACCTATAAGAGATAGAGATACTGTTATAGCTCAAACCACTCTGTTGTTAAGTAATGGCTGTAGCTTGAACATATTTTGATATATTTTGAAATAAAAGTAAATGCTATATTTCTACTGTACCATTTTTATTTATTTGGAACCATCATGTCCACTATTGTACTATAATAATATCATAAGAGACTATGGCTTTGCAGGAAAAGATTTTTTAAATTATTTACTTTTTTTTGGTAAAATCAGAAATGTAATCATATTTCTTTTTTTTCTAAAATGTGAACAAAAAATGGTGCATACAAACGACACCTTTAAAGTAAAAAATTATAATAGCGCGGGCCCACAATCGATAGTTTTCGAGGTACAGCATGTTGAAATAAAAAAAATTGTCTTTTCTCAAATATCTCTGAATACGTTTGATGTCGAAGGACGACACTTAGGGTAATAATTTTTCTAATTAAACGTAAAAATCCACTGATTTCGGAAAACGTTTACAAGTGCGGGATATAGTGGAAGTTAGTTTCACTGAAATCCTGGGGAATTCGACGCCACTGACTGTTTTGAAAATTTTGTCACTACTTGTAGCTTCTTATGTTGTTTCTACGAAAAAATATACACATCATTTTGTTTTAATTTTTTTTTTTTCATTAAATTTCATTAAACCTGACATAACTTTACAACTAACCATTTAGCGAAAAAGTTTAAATGATTTTTATTTTAAATATTACCATTTTAAATATAAAATAATGAAGAAAAGTCCTAGAAACTAAGCATACCAAAAAGCAAATTTTCACTATTTTCTTACTTATCATGATTTGTTTGTATTTGATTGTATTTCTAGTAAAAAAATCCCATGAAATTGATTTGGGAAACGAGTGATTCTAGATCTATCTTACATTCTGTGGAGTATTTGGTAGCGTTAATGAAAATTAAAGAAAGTCATAAATCCAACACGGTTCGTTTTCCGAATAAAATGGAATGTAACTTTTTCCTGTACACATTACAAAAAATTACATGTAGTGATCGAATTTTCAAAATATCCAGTGGCTTCGTCTTTTTAGAGTTTTCAGTAAGAGTGATTTCCGGTGTTTCCGTCACTGATATACTTTTTATATTGTATAATCATTAACCTAAGTTTCGTAATTTTATATGAAACATCTTCAGTGATATTTTAGAAAAAATTATATATTTAAACACCCCAACATCCTGTATCTCGAATCATCGTTTTGCGGATATATGTTTACAAACATTTTTGGTTTAAAATCACTCAAACTTACGTACGTAAGCTATAAAAAAAGCACCTATTGCTACTGAAATGAATGTTGAAATACTGTGAATTAGCATGTCCAGCGACGGGCTAAGAAAATTACAAAAAAGGGATTACAAAAAATTAAAATTTCACGACTGAATTTGAAAAAATAAACTATTGATACATGTTTTTAAAGGTCAAAGAAAGCCTCTGTAAAAATATGACCCCCACTCAAAGCTATACCCTGTATATTCTTATAATGTAAATAGTGCAGTTATAAGATGGCAACGGTTGTGTCTCTTTTTGTTTGAATAGAATTACGTAAAAGAGAACTCGGCCTACAGCTAACCCTGTATCCCATCTCTACTCATGTACCTATCTATAAAGGGTGTTAATGATAAGTTTTGCCAAACTTTAATGGCATATTCTACCAATGAACATAATCAAGTTTTGCCCTATAAAAATTTTTGATATGACGGTTACCTACAGAAATACAGGGTGTTAAATATTTTTTCCTTTAACTTCACTGGCAAAAAATATTTAGTGATAAAATTTGGAGGATGAGGTTTTTTTAGTAAAGACATTTTTTCATGGATAACTATCCAAAATACACTCCAGTGGTTCAGTTATTGGGGGAGTAGGGGACCTTTTTGAAAAAAAATTATACGCCACTGGTTTTTTAAATAATTTTAAATGTTTTTAAAATGTACAATCAATTTGTGGCAATAAAGTATTCGTAAAATTTACTGGTCTTTAGATAATTGGGAAATCAAATAAGAAGATACTTAAGTACCTACGTTGCTATTTACCATTTTCTATTGATTGCTAAATGTGTAACAATAAATCAATTCCTAATAGAGAGATTTCAAAACACTGTACAACATTACAAGAAATGTTCAAAATGCTGTCCTTGGGATGCAATGCATGTTGCGCAGCGTCTCCGCATTGACCGTCTTACACGCCTCATAATTCCAGCCGTATTGTGTATGGTTGCGAAACCTTCTTCAATGCGCTGTCGAAGTACTTCTACATTGGGAACTCGAGTACGATATACCTATCATAGATTTGAGGTAGCCCCAAAAAAAGTAATTCAAGAGATTCAGATCGGGGGAACGAGCCAGCCAAGCAATGGGTCCCCCTCTACCAATCCAGTGATTAGGATACTATTTATTCAGCAACTGTCTAACGGTAAGGCTGTAATGATGTGGCGCCCCATCATGCATATACCACAATAATTGACGTAACCTCAATGGCACTTCTTCTAGAAGTGGTGGTAATTCTTCTTGTAGGAACCTTTGATAAGTTCTACCATCGAGGATTCTGGGCAAAAAGTAGGGACCAATCAAGTAATCGCCCACAATGCCTGCCCAAACATTCAGAGAAAACTGTTCTTGGCCCATTGGTTATTATGGCAATTCGAAATGGTTTCTCTTGTGAATTTCGCTTCATCGGTAAATAATATTAATAAGTGAAAATCGGGCCCTTCGCATTGTTGTAAAAGCCACTGACAAAATTCAATCCTCAGTTGATAGTCATTTTCATTTAATGCATGAACTCGCTGGACATGATATGGGCGTAATTGCTGCTCACGTAAGACGTACCAGATTGTAACATGTGGTACACCCAAATCTGTTGATATCTGTCTGGTACTGGTAGATGGGTTTTCATTCCAAAATTCTGTCTTCCAAATGAACTGTACGAACAAGTCTTTCTCTTCGACGTTTTGGTAGCGACAAACATGCAGTTTCACGAGCTCGACGGTGATCGCTTGAAAAAGTACTTCTTGTTGGACAACGTCGATTTGGAATAGTCTGTCTATATGTAAAATGTATATCTGCTAATTCAATATTTGTGTAACGAACCATAACTAGCAGAGAAACGCGACAAAAAGTGTGTGGCAGAACTTATCATTAACACCCTGGATATTATTTATTTACTATAACCAAGCAAAAAAGAAATAAAGATTACACATATAGTCCAGTTGGTAAAGGTTGATAACTCAGAAATAACTACACAGGCCTGCTTTAAATGACGAGTACAATAACAGGCTAATTTGCTGACAAAGTATTTTATCAGGAAAAACGTTATTAACAATTTAATCGTGGAAATTTTTTTTTTAGTAGTTTTCTTTAAATAACTCAGCGGGATGAATTTGTACGAAAAAATGCTTAGGACATGATTTTGTTCGTAATAGAAATAGCTACAAAATGGCGGTGGTCCGATTACGAAATTTGCAAAAACAAAGCCGTGAGATTGAAAAAACGGTACAAAACCTCAATTTTTTAAAGTTGCTGTAAAAATGTCAATTATAAACAAAAAGTGATAAAACTTTCGAAAAATATAGTTCAATATATATATAATAATGACACTAAAGCCGAAAATCAAGAGAGCAAAACTTTTTGTTCTATGAGGTATTATACATTCATCGGCATCTGAAACTCGAAACTCTGCCAAATTTGTTCGAAGCTTTGCTGACATTTGAAATTTGGTACACACATAGTGTAAATATGCAGAAACTAAAGGCAATTTGCAAAATTCAAGAATCTTAATTTTTGCAGTTTTGGTAAGGTTTTATACGTCACCCTAGTTTTATACGTCACCGTTTTTTAATTTTTGGACGTATATTTATGTATATTTATAAAATATTCTATTACGGTAGATTAGCCAACACAATTACCTACAATTTAAAAACAAAAATATTTTCATCGTTTAGATCCTAAGCTACTTAACATTTTGGGCCTGTTAGCCATACTCGTACATTATTCAACATATCAACATAAAACAAAAACGTACGTGTGGGGTAAACCTTTAACTTTAAGTAAACAATTGTTTAAATTTACTGTTGGATATTTCTAATAGTATACAAGCGCCGAAGAGCGGAACTCGCGCTCGAAAATGAAAGGTTAAAGGTTTACTCCATACGTACGATTTTGTTTTATGTTGATATGTTGAATAATGTACGACTACGGCTAACAGGCGCAAAATGTTAAGTAGCTTAGGATCTAAACGATGAAAATTATAATTTTTTTAATTGAGGGTAATTGTGCTGGTTAATCTACCGTGATGGAATATTTTATAAATATACATATATATTTTTCCAAAAATTAAAAAAAAAAACGGTAACGTATAAAACTAGGGTGACGTATAAAACCTTACTAAAGCAGCAAAGATAATTGAATTTTGCAAATTGCATTTGGTTTCTGCATATTTACACTATGTGTGTACCAAATTTCAAGTGTCAGCACAGCTTCGAACAAATTTGGTAAAGTTTCGAGTTTCAGATGCCGATGAATGTATAACACCTCATAGAACAAAAAGTTTTGCTCTCCTGATTTTCGGCTTTAGCGTCATTGTTGTATATATATTGAACTATAGTTTTCAAAAGTTTTATCACTTTTTGTTTATAATTGTCATTTTTACAGCAACTTTAAGAAATTGACGTTTTATAATGTTTTTTCAATCTCACGGCTTTGTTATTGCAAATTTCGTAATCGGACCACCGCCATTTTGTAGCTATTTTTATTACAAATAAAATCATTTCCTAAGCATTTTTTCGTACAAAGTCATCCCGCCGAGTTATTTAAAGAAAACTACTAAAAAAATTTTTTTTCACGATTAAATTGTTAATAACTTTTTTTCCTGATAAAATACTTTGTCAGCAAATTAGCCTGTTATTGTACTCATCATTTAAAGTAGGCCTGTGTAGTTATTTCCGAGTTATCAAGAAAATGTCACCAACAGTAACTTTTCGGCCTCTGCCAACTGGACTAATACAATAGTGACAATAGTCGCTTGTGATATTATAAGTATACGATAAAGCCACAGAAGCCACTCTGTTATAGGGCAGCATGCATTTTGTAGGACTGGTGTTATTCACAGGAAACTGCTTAACAATGGTAGTATAAAAAAGTAATGGATATAATAAATTGGTTAGAATTATCATAAATTATAAACCAAATTTTTACCAGTCAAACGCCCATCATAATGCAACCATTTAATTATTTCTTTATAGACATTACTCCCCGGACTTTCTGTACTCATAGTTTGATTGTGGGCGACAAGTATATATTCTTCCGTCAGTTTATTCTGCCTAAGTCCAACCTTTAACAAATATTGTGCCGCATCGATCATGGAATCAGTCAGGACATCGAAGCTATAACTTCCTATAAAAGCTATATCAATCGCATTGGGCATCTGATCTGATTGTACGTCCCAACCACTGCCGACGTATATGTTTCCATCTCCACCAATTAAAAAATTATACCTTATATCTGAAAGTCCGTTACTGATGCTTTTACTTTGAATAGACCGTACCTTTCCAACGCACACTTCAATCGAGAAGCATTGCCCTCCTCCAGTTTGCTTTATTATAACCACTTCTGCAGGTGATGTCATATTCGTAAGTTCGTAACTCAATCGAGGCATTAGATTCCAAAGCGTTTTATCAAATACTTGGTGCCTTTTTTTGTATTTATTATTGTAATAACTGTCATTGTTCTCAGCTGGGGTACAATTTTCACTGGACGCATTATTTGTGTAAAGCAGTATAAGAATGGTGATGCCCATCGTCAGCGACAGTAAAGACAATGAGATCGATACAAATACTGCCTTATTCATATTTTCTTTTTGTCTACTGAATTTTTTAAAGTTTTTTCCTTTGTCCTGATTTTCTCTGTTTCTGCTAATCTAGAAATAAATGAAAAAATTCAAAATTTACCAAAATACAGGGTGGTCCAGATTTTAATAGACAAACTTCGGGAAAGTACTAAACAACAAAAATTAACATCACTTTGCTCTATGGACATAGGTGCAGAAAGCCACCGTTTATGAGATACAAAAATAAAAAAATTTATTTTAAATATTTGGAAAATCGCTTCATCATATTTATCCATTTCCATCCATATTTGGTACAAACTTTTTTTCAAATATTTCTTCTAGTTCTGTATGCACATAGTCCAAATTCAAAAACCAGTGGCGGAGAAACAATGATATTGTTTCCTTATTTAAAGTAAAACTTTTATGCCACTGAATTAATTGGTAATATGAATACATTTTACAACGGTCTGAAACATTCCGGATGAAAAAACACACTTTTATTTTTGTCGAAAAGTGAATGGTTTACGAGTTATGTGACATATAATGATGCGGTTTTCCAGATATTTAAAATAATTATTTTATTTTTGTTAATTTCAACGCCCTGTATCTCATAAACGATAGCTTTCTGCGCCGATCTTCATTGAGCAAAGTGATGTTAATTTTTATTATTTAAAATTTTTCAGAAGTTTGTCTATTAAAATCTGGATCACACAAATTTGTTTTATTTTCCCGATTTCAACGCTTTGTTTACTTGAATAATATGTCTCATAACTCGTAAACCATTCACTTTTCCATAAAAATAAAAGAATGTTTTTTCATCCGGAATGTTTCAAACCATAATAATAATAACAATAATAATAATAATCTTTATTATTCCAACCGGAAGAAATCCAATTACAGAAGTAAGAAAATATAACAAAAGTACAATAATTTGTGATGAATGTACCTATAAGTAAAATTAATTTTTTAAGTTCAGAACAATCAATATTGTTATTTAAGAAGTTGTACAGAAATCGAATCAACATAATATTACGTCTGGTTTCCAGTGAATCAAAATTAAATCTGGTAAGCAATTGATTCTGGGAAAAACCTCTGGGAGGATAAGACCCATCTTGCAAATAAGATAAAAATTTTAGAAACTGTCTCTGAACTGATTCCAACCGCTGACCATGAACTTGATAAATTGGATACCATATCATCGAGCCATATTCCAGTTTAGATCTCACAAGAGCACAAAACAGGGTTTTGGAAGTGTTTGTACTGGAAAAATCCCGGCAGTTACGATAAATAAAGCCATACGATTTAAAGGCACCAGAAACAATACTATTGATACGATCAATAAAAGTAAGTTTACTGTCAAAGTATATACCCAAATCCTTGAATACTTCTATTCTACCAACAATACTATCACCAATGGAGTAGTTATAAATGGGAAAGTTAGTGTTGCGAGTGTAAGTCATTACATGGCATTTAGATATTGTATTAAGTTTCAGACGATTTATTTCACACCATGAAGTCATTTGATTGATACATTCTTGAAGGCGAATATAAGCTGAAAGAGATTTGATTTCAGAATATGGTTTAAAATCATCCGCAAATAACAAATGTTCACAAGTGATAACATCTGGAAGATCGTTAATAAAAAATAAAAATAATATGGGACCCAAATTTGAGCCTTGAGGAACGCCTGATGTTGGAGAAAATGATTCTGAGGTGAATTTTTGATACCTAACCATAAAATATCTATCATTTAAGTAAGAAGCAAACAGTTTAATCAGGGCCTCGGAAAATCCAAAACTTCCCAGTTTGACGAGGAGTATATTGTGGTCTATCTGATCAAAAGCTTTTTGGAAGTCACTGTAGACAACGTCCACCTATCCTCTATTATCCAAAACCTCAGAAAAGTATTGAGTTAAAACAGCTAAATTAGATGTTGTAGACTTCTTTTGCATAAAACCATGTTGCCGTGGCGAAATAAGCTGCCTAGCGAAAGAGTACAGTTTACCATACAGTAAAGTTTCAAATACCTTAGAGAAATTGCTCAATAAAGAAATGCCTCTATAATTGGATACGTCACTGTGATTTCCCTTTTTCGGTATAGGACAAATGTAAGTTTTTTTCCTTGTCTCCTTTGAACGAAGTTCCAAAATTTTTTGGAATTGGAATTAATAATGCTCTCTCTGATTAATTAATGAAATTTCTATACGCTTCGTTAATTAAACGCTTAGATTTGGAGCGATGAAATTTAAATAAATTGAGAAGATCGACTGTTTTGCGTTTTTTGTATCTAGTATATGCAGCTGCTTTTGCTCGAATGGATCTAATAACTTCCCCTGTGAACCAAGGAGGATAATGATATCGATGATAATGGGTTGAGGACGTATACCTTGGCACAGCAATATCAAAGAGGCTGTATAATCTGTCATAAAATAATGCACAGATATTTTCAACATTATCCACATTCAATATAAGTGACCAATTCGTTTTGTAAATAAGTTCATACAAAAGAGGAAAGTTTGCTTTTTTAAAATTATACGAAGTACTGGAAAAGTTCATGGGAAATTGATTATGTGGATGCAACAGTCTAGCGGTTATATCTAACGTAACCAGAAGCAATGGACATTCAGATCTATCTATAATGCAACTAAAGTTAGAATCAACAAGATCCAATATATGATTATGACTATTGTTAACTATGTTATACCGCAATAAACCATGGAATTCTTTAAAATTATTAATTCTCACACAATTTCTATCATACCGATCTAAGGAATAATTTGGTGAATTGAAGTCGCCTACGAATAATAATGTCTCTTAGACATGGTAAGGAGTCAAGAGCCTCGAAAAATAAATCAAAGTCTTGCGTGGAGGTATGTGGTGGTATATACAAAACAAACAATAATAATTTGGGATTATTGCAGTTTCCAATCTTCACACCAACGACATCAATATCAGGAACAATATTAAAAACGTGGGATAAATCAATTTTGGTACAATTAAAGCTATCTTTAATAGCGATTAGGACACCACCTCCTCTTGATAAACCTGTAGACTCCCTAGAAAGACAATGTAATTATCAGGTGAAAGTTCACTGCTATTAATGTCCAAATTTAACTATGTTTCCGTTATAGCCACAAAGTCAAAGTCGCTCTCAGCTAAACCATTGTAAAAGTCAATAATCTTAGATCGCAAGCCACTCACCTTTTGGTAAAACAACGTGGGTCTGTAATTAGGTAGCGAAATCAGTTTAAATTATGAGAAACGATTTTAGGGGTACGATTAAAATAACGAATCATTATATTTGGTTCGCCGTTGTTCCTACGAATTTCTAATTCGTTTTTAAGTTGCTTGTAGTATTCGACTTGACGAGGAGTTCTGTCTGCCGAAATGAAGATATTTCTATAATTTACCGAAGTACGCAGATTCCTAGACTTCTTAATAAAATTCAATACTTCCCTTTCGTCACGAAGTGATCTTAATAGGTCTGCTGCCATCCTAGGTATGACGGCCTAGACGTTGAAACTTTAATGAATCGCCCACATAACCAGGCACAACAGCTTGTAATACTTTTAAAGCAAGTGAAGAATCATGTTCAATTTCTTTCCGATTATCGTCTAAACGAGACTCAACCGCACCAAAGATAATTAAATTTTGTTTTCTTTTTTGACGTTCCATAACTTCATTTACAGCCTCTTCAAAATCATATGGGGCACTTAACTCTTGATTAGTAGCCATGGTACTCCTTAACGTATTTAACTGTGCCTCAAAATCAGCCTTTAAACTATCTAAGCGCGCGGTAAACTCATTTTGCAAAGTTGAAATAAGGTTTTTAATATCCTTAAATTGTGAAAGGTTAACACTACATGTATTACAGACAACTTTAACAGCCTTTGACTTAGATCTAGTGAGTAGTGAGCTTAACATCACTCACTGATAACCCAACACATCTTAAATGTAAAGGTCCCTGGCAAGCATCGCAGTGAATGACCGAAGAAGTATTAGATTTTATATCAGTATTACAATTTAAACAAGAAGACATTACAAACAATTAAATAAGTAATAGCAAATCAATATATAATTAAAAATATGTAGTTATGTATTAATACAGGGATACCAAGTTTCCGCACCTAGGGGCCGATCAAGGTGACTAACAATCAGGCAAACAAGGTAGGCCACGGAAGGACAAAAAGTGTAAGAAGTGTAAACAGAGGAGTATAAATATGTTAAATCCCGTACTAGCAAAAACTATACGGTAAAATAGTGGAATTCCTACACATTCCCTACAGAGGCAACAAAAGACAGCGAATTAGTCCAATACAATTGAATGAGCAAAGAAACACTCGTGTTTAATTGAACTCAAGGATTTATCAATCAGTACAGTTGACAACATTATTAAATAAAACTTACAAGTGGCAAAATAACTGGCAAATCGTAGAGAGCCAACGAACAACGCGTATACACGGACACACACCACGGCGATGATGATGATTATAAAATGTATTCATATTACCAATTAATTCAGTGGCGTAGAAGTTTTACTTTATATAAGAAAACGGCATCCTTGTTTCTCCGCCCCTGGTATTTGAATTTGGACTGTGTGTATACAAAACTAGGGGAAATATTTGAAAAAAAATGTGTACCAAATTTGGATACATTTGATAAAGCCGTTTTCCAGATATTTAAAAAAATTGTCTTATATTTGTTAATTTCAACGCCCTGTATCTCATAAACGGTGGCTTTCTGCGCCTATGTTCATAGAGCAAAGTGATGTTAATATTTGTTGTTTAATAGTTTCCCGAAGTTTGTCTATTAAAATCTGGACCACCCTGTATATAAGATTTACACGTTATACAAATATTTATTTTATTTTTAATCTTAGTACTTTCCCTGTAAATTTGGGATCAATAAAAAAAATGGACATTATTATCTGATAATTTATTAAAATAGAAGCATAGAAAATCCATATCTTTATTGATTTTACACAGCGAGCTATAGAAGGAGGAAAAATTTAGGTACAAAGTACTGAAAAAAAATCAAATATGGTTGGGTAGTTTTATTTTAAGTACTACTGAAATACTCGTATAAGGCAA